GAATTGAATTGAATTGAACAATGACGAGGCACATACAGCTGTCAAAAAAACATTTTTTATTTGGGGTTCTTTCGTATCAAGGCTCCTATCTCTGATTTGTTGGGACACTGCGTCAAAATGTTCTGAATGAGGGAGATCCCTGCATAGAGTGTTACACCTAATGTATTCAGCAGTAATGTTAAAGAACCCCTCCAGACATCTATTAAAACATATGTACAGATGGTCTGCTTGGAACTATAATGTGTGTCTGATTCTTTTCCCCCCACAAAGTATAATTGAAAGTACAATTTCCACATTAAAATCCATTAAAAAGTAATTGACTCCTTCTAGCTCACTAGCCCTACTTTACTGTAAAGTCTATACTCAGAATATGTGCACTGGCAGCTTCAAGTTTCTATACCACACCAGGATTGGCTTCCAAATTATTTGTGATGTCACAAATCATGCAAAGGCCCACCCTTTAAAATCATATGTTCATTGAGCACAGAGAAACGTTCCACTTTAAGCAAATGAATGTGAAAACAGCCTTCAAGTGTCATACTTTGCATACTGCACAGTGAAGCTCAACATCCAACTGTAGGAACAAGAAGAAAAACATTTTGAGTTTAGAGGGACTTTAATTATTGGGAAAATGCACACATTTCGTAGAAATTCAGTACCCAGCTTAATTTCAATGTCAGTGATGTATGTTTTTCCTTCAGCTGTCTGCTTCTCATTATGAGTAAAGCAGCTCAATCCCTGTTGACACATTCACAGACTTTGGCATCTTGCAAAAATCTAACAACCAACCCAACTACCTGACATCCGAGGAGTCGCCTTTGGCAATTCTGTATTATTATGTATTTTCTCTCTGGATAACTGGTATAACCTTTGTTGCCATCTGCCCTCATTCTGCTCTTCCAGGCTACTCTGAACTCTTCCTTATTTCTTTGGCCATGTTTGAGCTCAGCAGGGTTAAAAGCAAGGTGCTTAACAAACATGGTAATGAAACATGTTACAGCTTTTAGCATTTTATAGCTTCATAGCATATTATTCATGATGCATAATGCCACTTCCCTTATCAGATATTGCATTAATTCAGTTTGGAGGCTTAAAATTGAGTCACCTGAAGTGTGTTGATTGGGGAAGTGCCAGGATCTCAGTCTGAGGTCAAACCCCTCACAAGACAAATTATCACCTGTATTTTTAAGTGTCAATACTACACTGACCTTGTCACTGCTCTTTAATGACCACATCAGTCCCCATTTATGGCTCACTTAAAATGCAATTCTAAATTCTTTATCACTTACTGGTTTGCTGGTCCTTCACGACTCAAATGAAAGGTGGGGTGAATAAAAAAAAAACATTGTTTGGTATTATTCCTCACAGCCAGTGTAAGTGTCCGCAAAAATGTTGGCTGACTAAGACTTGAATTGTAAAAATCTGTGCATAAGTCCTATTGTTCTCATAATAGTATGCTAAAATACTACCTACGTAATTCATTTGAAATAATTCAAATGCAACCCATGAATCCTTATCCTAAATGAAATTGTAGAACTAGATTCATCCACCTAACTTAAGTGACAAGCTAACGTTACTGTCAGGCAGATGCATTTTACAAACGCAGCAAAGAGCCTTACCTTCCTTCTAGCTTAAAAATCAAATCCAATTTTTTTTATTTCATTTTGCATTAGCAGACAGCAGGCGCAAACAACAATAGCCTGCTGTAAAAGTAAGAATGCTTTCAAAAACAGACATGTTAATAAATTATATTTATCAATTACCAAATGCAACGTGAATGAACAGAAGAAATAACTAAATCAAATCAATATTTGGGTTTGACCACGCTTTGCCTTCAAAATAGAATCAGTTGTTCTAGCTACATTTGCACATAGTTTTTGAAGGAACTCGACAGGTAGCTTGGCACAAACATCTTGAGGAACTACTCTCAGTTCTTCTGTGGAATTAGGCACCCTCAGTTGCTTCTCTCTCTTCATGACATCAGGGCTCTGTGGGGGCCATACCATCACTTGCACTGAAGATAGTTCTTAATGACTGTATGTTTGGGGCTGTTGTCATACTGTGGAATAAATTTGTCAGATGCCCCCCTTCTGGTATTGCATGATGAATAAGTATCTGCCTGTACTTCTCAGCATTGGGGAGACCATTCATTCTGACAAAATCCCCAACTCCATTGGCAGAAATGCAGGCCCAAACTTACAAGTGACCTCCACCACGCTTTATTGTTTCCTGCAGACACTCATTTTTGTACCGCTCTCCAGCCCTTCGGTGAACAACCTGCCTTCTCCTGCAGCCAAATATTTCACATTTTGACTCATCAGTCAACAACTGCTGCCATTTTTCTGCACCCCAGTTCCTGTTTGTCTCTGTATAGTTGAGTTGCTTGGCCTTTTTCCATGTCAGAGGTATGGCTTTTTGGCCACAAGTCTTCCATGAAGGCCTACTTCTCCAGATACTAGATAGGTGTACAAGAGTCCCACTGTTTCCTGGTAGGACATTCTATGATTGCGAATGAATAAAGCATGATGTGTCTTTCATCTGCTTCAGCAGGGCTATGCAATATGACTAACAGTACATATCCCAAGATAGGTCATTTCAAATCCCAATCCAGATGTAGAACATTCTTTGTAAATTCAGTTAAATATTATGAACTTGTGGTTTATCTCTCCATCAAAAGTGGGGTAAGCTATTCTGGGATAATCCAACACCAGGACAAACACCATGACATTTAATGAGTTAAATGATTTAACAACGACACAGCAAGTAATGTAACTAACGTTAGCTAGGTTGTAGGTTAGCAAACTGTTACTACTTGCTGCCGCAAAGCTAACATGAGAGGATGAGATGTCCCAGAGCAGCACAGCAGCTCCAGACAGCGATACTCACAACTCTCCTGCTGCTATAGCTAACATCACAACAACAGCATGTCTTGGTGAACTAGAAAGTAAGCTGAATGTCCGTGTGCAAGTCATTTGATGTTACCTGTCACACACAAGATGGCTGAAACGGCTGGAGTAGAGTTGTTTGGCTCCTCCAGACAACAGAGCTTATCGTTTTTGCTTGCATGGTCTGAGTCCTCCTGTTCAGTAATATCCAGTTATGAGTAAACTTCAGTCTCCTCCACGTTTGTTTATTCCTAATGCAAGTTTCTTCCCTGCAACATTCGGCAAGTGTGGAAGAATGGAGAATTTAGTTTCAAGTTGGATATTATGTAGCTTTACATTGAATAGACAGATATCTGTCAAATATCCAATGCAAACTAACTTCACCGCGGTGCAAAGCGTTGTCCCCTCGGAAAGTGATGAAGTTGCGACACAAATAAACGATAGAGCATAATTTTAAACGACAGACGTGTTGCTATCGTCGAACGACATATATTGTCGAATCGCACAGACCTATGCTTCACTAAGTTTCTTCACTAAGTTTCTTTGACTGGCCGCCACATCTGCAGTTCTCAACTTTAGTCCGTTCCTTTGTGCTTCTTCAAAATAACTTGGTCAGTACCTCTGGAAACCCTTGATTGACTTGAACTTTCTGCCTAGGAGAGACATTGCTGATGCTGTATAACTACAGTGTGTCTTGTTGCTGTGCTCGGTCTTGCAATGGTGTATGCCTTTTGATTGTAATTGTTGTCAGAAAGCTGACATTGTTAGCTGAGTTTTGCTGTTCCTCACCCAGTTGTATTCCTCCTACACAGCTGTTTATGTTTAGGTTAATGATAGTGTTTCATCCTAAGTATTAAATTTAGAATCATTAGCACCTGTCTGGTATAACTGTTTAATCATACACCTGACTATATGCCTACAAAACCCCTTACTTTGTGCAAGTGTACCTAGAAGAATTGATGCTAAGTTAGTCGCACCAAATATTGATTTGATTTAGGTTTTTCTTACTTTGCATGTTGTTAATTGATAAACATAATCTATTAACATGTCTATTTTTGAAAGTATTCTTACTTTACAGCATTTTTCTATACCTGTGTAAAACTTTTGACTAGAGCAATCGTTAACAAACCCACATTCCAAACAGATGTCAGCTGTGTCTTGTCAAATGTTGCAACAGGTTAGCTAGATGATAGTAAAGTTACATACAAACATGACTTGGTGATTATCAGATCAACAGACAGCTTTGTGTTGCCTGTGAAATTCGATGAACCCATTTACACTTTTCCATCTATCATCACCTCTGAGATGCTTCCAAAATAAGTCCTCCGTGTGGGCTTAAATTGGTCAAGGACAGCTGAGATGAAAGATAGCCCATAATGAGGTTTGTCCCTTAGGAATCAATGTGTAGCTTTGTCCCAGGGGCCACTGAAGGTTGTCTGTAAAATCTGTCTACTGAAGGGTCCTAGCCCAAACATCCAGCCTATCTATCACCTTGCCATCTTGTTGATGAGCAAAATCGAGGTTTTTATAGCAATAGACGGCATACACACACTTATACTTGTTATATATAGATATAATTGTCATTCTGTGTCTTCTGCTGGCACTGCGTGTTACCTCCCTGATCATTGTACTGCATAATCAAATTGCCCTTTGGGAATCAGATGACTTTGTGTCTAGGGGAGATAATGCAGAATATGATGATCAGCTAAACCCGGCCTGACCTTGTGTGTTGGTGTAATCATCCCTGTATTGATATGAATCTGTAACATCAAGGATAAATCCTTACTGATTTTGACAGCTCAGAGCAAAGAGCATATTCATACTCTTCCACATGTTTTACAACATTTACTTTGTGTCTGACCTTTATACTGTAATTCAAATGGCGTTCTGCAAAGCTAATTATTATCTAAGCTTAATTGAGTTGGAGTTGAAGAAGTCGTGGAGTAGGGCTTTGCCAACAGTGCAAATGGAGGGTGAATACAGATGTGAATTTTTACAATAGGATATTAACTAGCCGGTAGGTGATGGAGGGAACCTGATTTGATGGTTTTAACTTGTAGTGAAGTGTCTGGATCTAAAACTCTTTCGCTCATTTACTTTCTCCCTTCTCTGCAGTCCGTCTGCTTTGAGGACAGGCAGCTGTGTGGGGCACCGGGTGTGGATCCTGCTGGCCATGACCCACCTCACCGTGGACTTCTCTGTGTGCAGCCCCCTCAGCCAGGGTCTGGGAATCAAACTCACATCTAAATCCGTGCCTCGCTCACGACCTCGCTGGCAGCCACTCTGGGACATGCCCAACAAGCTTCATTGGAGAACAGTAAGCCCGTTGGCCCGCCGGCTTCTTAGTCCTATCCCTCCACCCCTAGACAACAGTGCAGGGATAGGGGCAAAAGTCAAGCATCGGAGACCAGCACATAAAGGACAAGCCATGTGTAAGGAGTGCCGGTTAAGATACTCTCAAATGGAGACAGGTGATCCTTTGGCTGTAATAGCGGAAGCTCCAGCAGCTTTATCCAGTGGGAGCAGAGGAGACACACTGAGGTTGCTACGTAGAGTCAGGAGGCAGCTCAAATGGGACAGCTATGACAAGTCTCAGGAGGGCCGGACTACCACGGTGGCCGGATTTATCGACTGGGGACCGACTGGGACAGATAGCATAGATGATGATGGCAAACCGGAGCCTAACATAACGCTGTCCACCAGGGTCTCAACAACCACAGTGGCCACAACCACTAGCACTACAACCAGGCTCTCCCATAGGACGTTCACTGTGGTGACCACACCAGAGCCCAAGAGGCTAAGCACCACCAAGGCCACTGTCAGCTTCGGGGAGACTGTCAAACCACCAAAGCCATATGGGGACACACCAGGTAAGACATATAAGACAGCTAATCATAATATGAGTGAGTAAGCTAAAGAAATTATTGTTTGAACACAGTCGTGCTTTCAGTCACAGCTTCAGTAAAAACAATACAAAGTGCTGTGTTCACTTTTAACCAGAGACAATTAACAAATTAATGAAATGAGTACTGAAAACAAATAAGAAACCTGCATGGCACATATATGAACACCATGGATTGATGTCTCAAGTTTAAAGTATCCAGATAAATAGGTGTTTGTTTGCAAATGCCTTCAGTTTGTCATGTCATGAGGGATCTAAGGCTGTAATGACACTTCAGAAATGGTCCTTTAATCTTTGTATGCTAATGGCCCATATGAATCCACAGAACAATGTACACCCACTATGACAGGCTTAAAACAAAACAACTGAATCAAAAATGTTCATTTTTGTTATTTTATACCCAAAAAAAGCATCAACTGCATGTGTTCAGAAGGTTGTGGAGTTTGGACAGAAAAGAATAATAATAATAAAAAAAGATGTAGATGTAAGAGGAAATGTGAATGCTAAATAAAGTAATATCACTGTACTGGTCACACAGGGGCAAAACTGTTAACCCCTACCGCCCCAAAGAAGACCCAGCGTTTGATTGCCAGTAGTGGTACCTCCAGTTTGGTTGTGTTCCAACAAACACAGTTGGCATGTGTGTGGAAGCCGGTATGGGATTGCATTCTTACCTTTAGACTATAGACTTGAATGGTTGGGGGGGTCTTCATGTGGGTGGGATCCAGGGGGTATAATGTGAAAAATCACTTGTATTAGACATTTCTGGTGAAGCATCTTGCTGGCAACTTTACGTGTCATACAGGTAGCACTTGGTTGTGAACACCCTCCGTAGGTCAACAAGGGCAGTAATGCATAAGTAATTGACAAACTCTCGCCACTTTTTCATTGTATCGCATGACTAATGATTCAAAGTAATGATCTACTTTGCATTGAAATATAATTGCAGCTTGGGAAAACAGCACATGGTTTCCGGTGAATGTCCTTGACCATACTGTGGCGCTCATACCTGAAATGGGCATGTGTGATTTTGTGGACACACAAACCTCGCAGCCAGGCACATTAGATTTACCATTTCATTAAGTCCACGAGGAACATGGCTTTTTAAATGGACCATACAGGTAGTCATAAAATATAAGTCATGTTTAACAACTTATGAACAAGCACTATGCTAATTGAAGCTTTCCCTTTTGGCGCATTAATATAAATGTCATAAAATTAGGCAGGGAACGGTAAGGCTGATCAAAAGGCCTTGGCCATCTTCTACTCAATTACAATGAAACATGTCTTAAGAAGTCCTGCTGATATATATAATGCCTTCACTGCCTCAAAAAAACCTTTAAAAAATATCTGTTTTAAGTGTTTTAGTGTGTTTTAATCATTTCACCCTAAACCCTTGTGTTATGCTGGAAATGTGGTGAATATTTTTGTTTAGTTTTTGTGGAGCCGTACTTAGATGACCTTATAAGCCTTCATTGTTTTAATATAAGCTAAGTTGCATTCAATCATAAAATTATTTTATATTCTTAATAATTGTGTTATACCATATCTCCAGTATTCAGATGTTCAGCTGATAAACATAGGTTCTGACCATTAGCAAACATGGATCTAATAACTGATATAACTGTAGTCTCTCAGTACTGTTCATATTAAAACAAGAGAAACACTCAGCTCTTATGTTGGAATAACAATTACTATAAAAGTAGATTTTAATGTTAGTGGTAGAAATAAATGTCGTACTATGGTGACTGAAGTGAAATTAAATCGCAGTATTTATTTGTCTTGTCAGCACTGTTGTGATCTTTTCATTTTCTCTTGATTGAGAGGTGAGGCCACCTGTGATTCAAAATGATGGCTTGATATTGTATCCTGGAGGAAATCAGTCACCACTAGCTAATGAGAGAAAAAAGGTCTGATTTTTACGACTGGGTGTACTTTATCGTATCAATAAGCAGACTGCATCTCGTTAGAGCAGATGAATAGAATCATTTTTCAAAGAGAAAACATCCCGAGTGCTGCTTAACTGCTGTAGAAAACTTTCCTTTTGCCTTCACAACACATTAACCCATGTCTGCCTCATATTGGCCCCAAGGCAAGATATAATTACCACACCGAACACAGTCTGTCTCTTACTCATATCTCTCCTGCTTCGTCTTTAAGGGTTGTTTATGGATATGTTACATTCAGTCTTAGTCTAATTAATGCAAACTTGGATAGGAGGAGCTCATGTGAACACCTTATAAAGATTAAGTTAATCAGAATAAGTTGATAATCCACATAACAATTTAACTCACACATATATATATATAGATATGCTTTTGTCTTGTGATGTATTCACTTGAATTCAAAAATACTCCCTAAAGGGGGAATTTAACCTGTGTGTTAGATTTAGGTTGATATTGGTAGAAATATTGGCAGAAATTGAATATAATAATATTTACTGACCAATAAATCATTTTTTCATTGGGATATGAACATGCATGATACAGCATACACACACACACACACACACACACACACACACACACACACACACACACAGTGGCCAGCAGAGCAGAGAGGCCATAGTGGACAAAGTGAAGGTGAACTTAAGATAACTCAAAGATTTATCGAGTTGATGACAACTACACTCGTTATTGTAAATACGTGCAATAAAACCTTTGCGAGTAAAAAGCCAATACGTAATCATTATACTCTACAACAAGCAAAAACATGAGGAGGAAGAGGACAGGAGGAAGGACTGATACTGACTGATGTCTGAGTTTTTCATTATTTCTAAACTTCAGTCAGTATTTTGAAGTCAGGAATATGAATTATCTTACTGACATTTAAGATTTGTTTATCTGAGATATTACTGAGTTTATATTTATATTACTTTGCGATGTAAACTTGTTATCTAATAGCTAATATGCACACTTCAATATATTTTTATTTATTGCAGTCATATCATCATTGCAATATTGAACAATGTTACAGAACATTGCAGATTTTCCTTATATTGTGCAGGCCTATTTATATTCAGTATGTTTTCATTAGTAATTAATTAAGTAATTGATAAGTTAGGGTAATCACCTGCAAATAAGATTAGTTGTGTTTTCATTATTTTAGAATGAGCTCTTATATCTACAGAGGAAGCGGGTCCTCTCCAAAGTAATTTCTGGTAACACAGCTACAATGGGATCTTAATCTGTCTCCAATGCTTCTTACATTTACGCTTTTTTTCATATTGGATAACTACCCGATGTGTCCTAGACCCACGAAGCTGGTAAATGTAAAGTCTAGGTGAAATGTTATTATGTGAAATGTTACCTAAGTAACCTAGTTGCATATTCAAACTTAGATGTAAACATCTTTTTAACAAACATAATTTAGATTTTAGTGGGCAAATTAGTTGAATTAGCCATCCAAATTATACAGTAAATTCTGAACATGCCAGGAAAATAACTGCCTCTGTTATCAGTCAGTAAGAATACTGAATTACAGCATGTCATATGTCAGTGCTTTAAACAAAGGGCTGCTTTTGCGTTGCTGAAAGATGTTTTCTGGTTCATACAGAAGAGTGTCAACTTCCATTTAAGGCTAATTTTGAGAGCAGGAGTAAGACTGGCGCACATGCACACAGTGTCATGATAAATGTAAAATATTAGAGTGCAAAACACATAACCAGTACAAAGACTGTGTATGCATGCATGTTTGCTTTTGTGCATGCACAGACTTTTAGTCCTGAATCTACAGTATGTTGACATACTGTTGGGTGGCTACTATGTGTGGCTTTCTGTCCTTTTTTGAGTCTTGTCGTCCTCCAGGATTACACTCGCTGTGCCAAGTTAACCGTGACAACTATCACAGGTGAATGATATAAGATGTTCTTATTTTCATGGCAATGCGGACACATTCCAATTTGATTTTTCAAATGCAAGCGAGGCATGGTCCAAAACATGTAGCCCGATGAACCTCAGGTGATCTGTGCCCAATGTGAGGGAAAAATACAACACCACAAGGTGTCACAACACCTTCAGTTGCAATGTTATGTAGCTTTACACAACTTATCATGTTAAGCATCTAACAGCCAAATTACGCTCCTTCAATACTGTTATAATTCCTCACAATTTGATTATTCCCAGTAAACAGAGTATCAGTGTGCATGCAAGCTGCTCTGGGTCTCGCTCCCTTTTTTTCTCTGTCTTTCACATCCAGCCTTTCAAACAGAATCACCTCAGTTCAGAGTAAAACCTCTGGGAGAAACGAACCCAGCCACCCTGACATCACAGCTAATTGTAATCTAAAAGCACTGATGTAGAAATGACAGGTGGCTCATAACATGTCTGTATTATGTGGAGAACGACTACCGAGAATTGTTGGACCAGCATTTCAAAAAATTTATTCCATAGTTATCTGAAAAATCTGAAAGAAACGGCAAAATGTTTAAACCTTACCCAGTACAAGTTGGGGTATTTTGTGCTTGATAAATTTCTAAACCAATTATCAACTAATCAGATATTTGTTTCTCTCAGTAACTGTGAGATTACAGTATGTGCACTCACCCCTGCAATAGACGGGCTGCATGGACTAATTCACTGTGACTCATGAATACTGAAGGCAACCAGCACAGTCAGCCACGTAAGGCATGCGTGCATCATGACCGTAATCATCTCACGCTGTGTGTGCAAATCACTGTCAAACATGGATGCAAGTGGTTGGTTGTGGAAAGAGGAAGAGAGAAGGAGAGATAACTGCCTCACACGGAAGTACTGTACACAGTGAAAAGCAGTATCCAGTTACAGGCTTGACTGTGGTCCAGTGTAATTAGGAATCAGTCTTGTCAAAGATGGAAAGTGCAGGAATCCCGCAGGTCGTGTGCAGCGTAGGGCTGGACGATATGGCCAAAAATGTTATCACGATAAAAAGTTTCATATCTTTCAATATCGATAATTATCACAATAAGTATCAAATCTTTATTTCTTTTGA